TTTCCTTAAAAAATCCTTAAACGGTTCAGTATGTGAAGTTACTTCTAAAAATTTAAAACCTAAACCATACCATTTTGTAGCTGTTTTGCCGACATTCCTATTCCAAAGTCCATAAATTGAAAACTATCATACAGATTTTTAAAATTTAAATTTTCCTTGGAGTAATATTTACACAAGTGTGTACATGGTGACAAATAAAAAGTATTCCATGATTTCAAGGCTTTCTCGCATTTCCTCCGGATATTTCCATGCGTTGCATTTGACTAGACAATTTTATTAGGCTTTGTCCTCATTACGAAGAGTGAGGATTGACGTGACATGAAACGCCATGCCCACTACTATCATCCATTCCTACCTATTTCTTCAACAAACATTTCTTCACACGGAATATGGCACCTTTGACACCATCTCTCTTGGCTTTTACTTTAATCCAAAATCGAACCGTTTATTTATTTACTTGCTTACTTCTCGATAAAAAATAATAACAATAATAATAATAAAAGGAGGGGTTTGTCAGAACGACCGATTAGCCAAGAGTGCACCCCTTTGTTTTTTTCTTTTCGACAGATCAGCTATGAAATCAAGATGCCTTGAACAATTCGAACCTCGCGCTTTCTCTACTATTTGTATGTTTACCACAGATACATCTAGAGATGTAATTGTCACTACTGTTACTTATAACGGACGTATCCATATAAATTATACTTGGCTCTACACTTTCCTTAACTAATATTTGCATAATTTTTTGTTTGAAAGAAAAACAATGAACAAGTGAAATTTGAATTGTCCACGATTTTGCTTGTTCTTATGTTATACAAATTTATTACTTTATAAAATAATAGTTATTTTGAATCAATGAATGTGTATAGTTTTCAATATTTTAGGGAGGTGGAACACGTCTTTGTTCTCAATAGTAATAGAAATTATATGATTGTTATGCTATTTCTTGTCCATAATAAAAATCATTATTAAATCCAATGTCATATCAAGAAAATAATTAATGAGACAAAATTATGAATGTTCAAAAGAAGATCATAGGAAAAAACTCACAATGGACAATTCTTTTGTTCTATTGCATTCTCAATCAGTTCCCACGGCTATATATTTTTCAACTAATTGATAATGCGTCCATTGAAGAAATTTGACTTTTTGATTGTTTAGTTTTAATGGTAAACTTTCACATCAAATAGGAAATATTACTAACATAATAATAAGGTTTGAACTATTCCTACAATATTGATCTTTAATATGAAATCCCAAATTATAGTATCGGAGTTTATTGAAATATAATAGTAATTCGATCCATCTAAAAATGAATATTCTTATTTAAGAGATGTTCCCAACGAGCAACAACCTAGCAATACATGTTAAGGGTGGAATCCCACATATAGAATAACAATAAAAATTTAGACAATAACAAGGATTTGAATTATTTTTCTTAAGATAGTATAATGTTATTTGTAAGTTGTGCTTACATTTTCCATATAAACTGCTGATAAATAAGCACTACTTACAAATAGCATTACAATTTAAGATGAGAAACTCAAGTTTTAGAATATTTTTAAGAGATTCTTAGTGTATAAAAAGCATATTTATAATGAAAATTCGTATATTTAATATATTTTTTAATTTATCAATGATTAATCAACTTAAATATGATTTGAATAATTTAATAAGTATTCTATTGAAATATATAGTTTATTATTAAATACAATCATTATAAAATAAGAATAATGCGAATTCGACTCTCTATTTTAGAGCATATTCATAAAAATAATAATAAAAAAAAACTCACTAAATCCAAAATGTTCTAAGTTTTAGAAAATCAATGCTTAAAAATAAACCCGAAGAAACTCTCTTTTCTAAATCCATTCCCATTCTTACTTTATAATGATTGCATTTAATAAGTTATAAATTTAAATACTCTATTTATTAAATTATTTAGATCATATCTGAACTTATTGGTAATTAACATTTAAAGATTTATGTTAAATAAAAGAATCAGGACAAATTATGATTGTTTCTTGGCAAAAAGCAAAATGAGCCAACATAAAAAGCACAATTGAAGTTCAAAAAGTTTTTCTCTTTTAAATTTAAAGATTCTTTTTATTATACATAAAATGCCTCTATAAATAAAATATTTTGATGATTCTCTTGAAAAGTAAAAATAGAGTCTATTGAAATTAATTTTAAGCAGCGTCTCTTTAAAGATGAAACGAGCAATTCATAGCATCTAAAGTTGAAACAAACATTCAAATTCAAATATTTCTGTTCTCAAATGGACCATCAAATTATAAGGACATGTTAAGGATGAAATGATCTCTTAGAATCGAGATATATATATATAAACTAGATAATAAACTTGAATCAATGAAATTAATAAAAATACAAAAACCAGATATCAGAACTTCTTGTGTGTGTCACGTAGAGTGATTATTATAATTTTTACGGTGAATAAAATTACTCAAATAATTAATTAAATGTTAATTATATTGAGCGAATATTCCGGTAGGACAAGAATAGGATGCCCATTATCTTGCGTTTGATTTAAAGGATTAAAAGGTTACAACCAATGAGCAAAAGTGAATTCATCATCACAACTGTAGACAATAATTGCTCTCCTGCGCAGACCAGTTAAGGAAATGGGGACAAAGTACCCAAACCGGCAAAACTGCAGATGAAAACAGAAAGGCAGTAGGACCCACACACCTCTTTAAAAGTGGGTCCCATTAAAGTAAAATTACAATAATCTTCCTCTCCTGTCCGGATCTGATCCGCACACACCTTCACACGTGCTGTGTGTGTGACCCTACACGTTTCCCAAACCGGACTCTCTTCGGACAATCATCATTGGAAAGGTACCTTGGACTTGACTGAACTGCTGCGTACGGTGTGGTGGGGTCCACTACAAGCAATTGCGACGTGGCGGAGACCCAGCATGTCAGTTACTGCATCGAAACTCACGGCCACGTCACCCTCTTCCCCAGATTCACCATTATCCCTACACAAAAACTGTGCTCCGTGAATTTCCGGAATTGTCCTTCTCTCTCAATTTGAACCCAAATCCACGATCTGTTTGACAGTGATAATAAGAATTAAATTTTTAACCGTTAAAAAAAAAATTGAGTTCTACTTAAGAGTGAAAAAGTCAAAAATAACGGTTGAAATAATAAAATAACGATAAAAAAATTAATTTTTTAAATAAAAAAATTGCCACCAAACGGAGACTTAGTTCTTTATAAACTTTTTTTTTTCAAATTAATTTTCAATTACATGGTAAAAAAAAATTTAGGTTTTATTTTAAATCAATGCACGTATTTTAATGTATTCGAAGCTATTATTAGAGCAGAATCAACTTTTTGAGAAATATGAGTCGAAGTAATAACAATAATACTTCTAGTGCGATCATGAATGTTCGGAATCCATATTATGTAAGGAGACGTGGCTTTTGCTAATTCGAATTGAAGGTGGCAATTCCTGCTCCGTGTCAAGGTCACAATCGATATTGTTACTAGCATCAATATTGTCGTTCTTTCAGTAAAATAACTTTACATACAAATTTTTAAAAAATTCCTACTTTTAATCACATATTTTTTAACAAATTACTATTATAAAATTTATTTTTCCAAAAACGAGGTTCGAACAAATGACTCTCGTAAAGGTTCGAACGATTTTATATGCACACCTCCATTCACATTTCAATGCTTCAGACATTGAACAATTCTAGTCAAAAGAACATTGAAGATTGCTTAACGGATAAGAGCATATCCTATATTTGCGTAGATTGCTTTTGCTCTGTTTGATTTAGACAAAAATTAAATTTTTAGTGAAATTTAATAAAGTTAGCGGATTGAAAATAATGGGTTCAAATATGTGGATAAATTAAGAGCCTGTGTTTGCCCAATTTTTTCACCCAAAAAATTGAATTTTTGACCGTTATTCACTATTCCAGTTGTTATATTTGACTTCTTCTCTCACAGGTGGACCCCACTTTTATCCTAACGGTCAAAAAATCAATTCTCAAAATCACTCATATACAGGCTCTAAATTATTGACTTTAACTTCAATTTTAATCAATTTTTTAAAATGAACCAAACAGGTTTTCAATAAATTTGCCCCCATTAACAAAGTAAAAGACGTCTAAACGTATCCTCAACGATGCCATTTAGCAAGGAAGTAGACAATTTGACATTGAAAAATAAATAAATAAAAATTGAGCTCCGTTTCATTGATTCAATATCTTCCGTTAGACCATTGATTGTTTTCTCTCTTTCATTGAATTTTATTTTATGGTAAATAAAGATACTTAGATATTAGTATTTGACTGTAGATAGAGATTATTGAAGAACAATTTCAAACTCGATTATCTATTTATGATAAATCAATGTTGCTTAAAGCGTAAGTTTTTCATCTTGCCAACATATGTAGGCGGCCATACATAGAATGCATTATCATTCTTAAAATGCGTCGAAGATGTTATTAGTATGAATAATGCTATTTGCAGTCGCTTACTACAGCAATCGCCATATGTGGCATACACATGATAGGTAATTATTTGATGTATCAATGAATAAAAAAAACTATCACATTAATGTATCAAATAATCACCTGTCATGTGTATGCCGCGTAGAGTGACTGTCGCGGTGAACGACTACGAATAACATTACTTTATTAGTATATACATGTAATGAGTGAAAACCTTTCTCATCATTCAAAGTATCGTAAATTGAATGATTTGTATATCAAACTGTCGTAAGTTGTATGGATAATGTACATCTACAAAATCGAAATGTTATTACCATTACCAAAATAAGAAAAATCTCAAATTGAGGTGATTTACGGTTTTCATGGCGAAAATGGACAAAAACTTAATGCAGCATTTATTTTCCATCGAAATTTAATGATGACATTGCTTTAATCTAACAGATGAGATGAGTAATAATTTTTTGACTTTCCGTTTTCCCAAAAACTGAATGCTTAAATAATTTCCACACCCATTCATTTTCCCTACTCACCACCCTCTATTTCCTCTCTCCCTCCCTCTCCCTCCCTCTCCCTCTCCCTCTCCCTCTCAGAAAACAAAGGCAAAACGCCATAGGCAAGTAGAGAAAATATCAGAGTTCCAATGGCCATTGAAACAGGGCATCTCAATGTTTTTCCTCCACAACTTATCTCAAACGGGTATGCTTTAAATTCATTTTCTCTGCACAAATTTTTTTGATCTCTGTCAATCTCTCTGTTTTTTGGTTTCTGTACTCAATTTTTTTTTGTGACTCCTTAAAATTTACAGAGATTTGATGAATGTTTACCACCATGGGGATAACAACTTTGCAGTCAACCCGCAGAGGGGCTCATCAGGATTCGCTTTTCGCCAAGCCCTGCCTGGAGATTTTGTCCCGAATCTCCCGATTTATGATTCACAGGCAAAAACTTCAATAATTACCGACACCAATATTCGAAAGCGTGGCAGGGATTCCATGGATCAGTACTATGAAGCATCAAATTCCAGCCCGGCTAACCAGAAGAATAACGGAATCCCTCAGTTCCCATCTTTTGCCGGTGAAGGCTTTTTGCATCAAATGCAGCAACACCATTTGGAAATTGATAACATTATATCCCAATATGTGAGTCTTTAATTTCTGTTTACAGACTGCTACATGCAAGTGTGGATGAATCATGAATATAATTTAGTTGGTTTTACTTTGTTAATTTGCAGAGTAAGAAAATGAGGGTGGAACTTGAAGAGAGGCAAAAGCAACACACTGGATTCGTGCTGGCAACAATAGGAGAGGCAGTGACGAAGAAATTAAAGGAAAAGGATGAGCAGATTCAGAAAATGGCCAAGTTGAATTTGGTTCTTCAAGAAAGAGTCAAGAGTCTCTACGTCGAAAACCATTTATGGCGAGACATGGCACAGACAAATGAGGCGACGGCTATGTCCCTGCGCACGAATCTCGAACAAGTCCTAGCCCAAGTAAGCGAAGAACGTCACTCGGACGGTGTAGGTCCCGGCGCACAGGAGGTTGAGGAAGACGTCGAGTCGTGCTGCGGTAGCAGCGACCATGGAATCCGGGACATCCAAGTTGGTAACGAAGACGCAGATTGCGGGAGAAACAGGCGGTTCAGTGATCGGAAGTGCAAGAGATGTGGGGAAAGAGAGTCGACGGTTTTGTTGATGCCGTGCAGGCACTTATGCCTTTGCTACATTTGTGGGAGCGGGTGCCATGGCCTCGAAGCATGCCCTGTCTGTAACTGTGCAATGAATGGTACATTGCACGTTAACATGTCTTCTTAATCAATGCATAAAACGAGAAAGACACATTTTGGTTGTACATTCTTACAACATCTTATGTAAATTTCTTTTAGTTAACAAATTAGGTTGTGAAATTTTTATTCTTCTCATGCTTTTAATTTAAATTGAACAATCGAATACCATAAACTAATAGATTTTGAGGTGTCGTCAATCGAAATTTTAATAGATTTTAATGAAATTCATTAATTGATTTAAAAAATTGTTTTTGAAATGATTGTCATAAATATTGTCAACAAATAGTTTGTAAACGTAATTTGTATAAATAGCATGATTC